TTCACAGATGGATGCGCGTATGTATGTATGTATCACATTGGGCCCGCGCAGCAAGGGAATTCGCTTTTTATTGTAATGGCATGCGGTATCTAGCGTAGCGACCGCCCGCAGCCAACCCACGCCCTGATCTCCTCCTACTGTCACATCTCTGCGTGCCGGGTATTCATATGCATACCACCGCCGTTCATATGCTACCAAAACAAGTTGTTGTTGTTGTCTTCACATTAGATACCGTTGGTTCCGTTCTCTCTACCCAATACACCTTCTTCTTCTGTCCGTATATGCATATGCATACTATTTTCTTAGTCTGTGTACTACTTAAACACTACGCGATCGATTCCCCCGTTGTCACGGGCTAACTTAACCAAAAAAGGCGTGGGGACTCTACAGCTTGTTGTTGTTGTTGTTGTTGTTGTCGTTGTTGTCTTCACATTAAAAACCGTCCCGTTCTCTCTGCCCAGTACCTTCTTCTGTCCGTACTATTATTATAGTCTATCAAACACTTGACGGGGTCGATTCCCGTGGTCACAGACTAACTTACCCAAAAAAGGCATACGGAAATGTCCGCAAGCCAATAAAAGTCAACGGCAGATAGTCTAGGCCACTCCGTTCGCCTCTACACGCTATGCGAGGTAACCCTAGATTGGAAAAATAAAGAAGAAATAAGAAGAAAAAGAGAAAGAAGAAGAAGAGAGCAGATGGAGACAAGGGAAAGCGAAGAAGGAAGACACAGACAGAGAAAGACACAAACAAGCCGTAGCGACAGACAACAAACAAACAGACAGAGCAACACAAGCCAACACAAAACAACACAACACAAAACGGGCCACCCGAGCCAGCACATGAATGTCATCGCTCGCGGGGGGGTTGGCGCAATGGCGCGGTGCCGGGGGGGGGGGGGGGATGAGTCAAGCAAAGGGTTCAATTCGGCCCACTGTTTCGCGTCACTCGGTCTGCCTCTTCGCGTTTCCCGTCTTTCCTCGCCGTCTCGTCCGCCTGCTGTACCCCTCCCACCCCCGTGGTTGTTGCCGTGTCCGTGTTGTTGCCGGGCTTCTTTTTCGTTTGAGCGCTCGTTGTCGGCTAGCCTCCTCTTCCTTCTTGTGCCAGGAGGCCATGAACCTCTTAGCTCCCTACAGTACCCCACGGTACCCCCCGGTCCACCTTCGCTGCTTCCATCCAACTTGCTTCCGGGACTCCGAAGAAGCATGGTTCGGCATCCGTACATCCGTGCTCTGCTTCGAACATCTTGAGGTCGTCCTTCAGGCACGTCTGCCAGTTTTGCTCCGGTTTTCCCCTGCCTGGGCCCTCCCCCCCCACCAGCTCGCCAAGCATCACCCGTTTCGGGAGTCGTGCGTCTGGCTGCCTCGCCAGCGCTCCCACGAACAGAAGGCGCCGTTGCCGAATCGTGGTTTCCACGCTCTGGCACCCTATCCTCTTCAGGGTCTGGGCGTAGGAAAGCTGCTGGTAGGTGCCCTTCTTGCGTTGGTAACCGATAACTCGCAGGAGCAGTCGGTGGTGTATCGTCCGCAACGTCCGGTATTGGTCTTGACGTAGGGCCCATGTCATGCAGCCGTACAGCAGTGCCTCCATCGGCTCGGCCTGAAGCAGGCGAGTCTTGAGTCGGAACGGTGCTTTCGGCCTGTCGAAGAGCTCCTGGCCATATCTCCTGACGCATGCTCACGCTGCTTTGCTCCGGCACCGAAATTCATCTCCCGGGTGAGGACGCCATGTTCGTTGACGAGACCCCCTAGGTACCGAAACTCAGTCGTCTGGGCGTATCTCTGCCCTGCTGCCTCGATGATCATCGGTGGCAGTGGGGGCGGTAATGTTGTTGCCTGCTTCTCCTTTGCGCCCATCAGGAGCGTCTCCGTCTTCTTCTCCGATACAGTCAGCCCGAACTTCCCCAAAACCTCCACGATGACGGTCATCGTTCTCGCCGGTCTTTCGGCAGACCTCGATACGACGTTGCGTCATCGGCATACAGCATCCCCTATACCACCCTTCGCACTCGGTCAAGTGGTGTCCTCGCCCCCCATCCCATCTCCTCCTCCAGGTACACCAGGTTCTGCAGAGTAATATCGTCCTCGCTGAATCGAATGGCACCGACCTCGATAACCGCAACGCAGAACATGTTAAACAGCAGTGGGGACAGGACACACTATTATGCAAGGGGACGTTTGGTAAGGTATACCAGTGGGTATTTGTATTGGAGACTGGTTCCTGATCTTTCTGTGCAGATGTCGAGATCGGCCGACCACCTCTGGTTTCTGGTCTCTGATTTCTGGGCAGATGTCGAAATCGGGACCTCTGATTTCTTGGCACATGTCGAGGAGATGTATGTGCAGCTTGTATTGGATTGATTTCTCGGCAGGCAGACGGCTCTCTGTGTTCATACTTGCTCGTCGCTCGGTTGCACGCACAGACAGTTACGATAGATAGTCAAGTTCTTCCTGCCTGCCTTGCCTGCCCTGCCTGCCCTGCCTGCCCTTGGGGAAAGCGCGCGGAGAACAAGGCAGGTACAGTAGGCAAGAAACCTTGTTGTTACCTGGGAAAGAGATGAGCCCGTGACACCGCTATTGATATGCTGCAGCATGCACGAAGCCTTTTTTTGGCTTGCGGTGAAAATCCTATCAGTCATGAAGTATTGTTCCGTCCGACGACGCTCGGTAGCACTTGCACGTGCTCAGTTCTTGGCTCGCACGAAGCTGCTTTTCGGGGCGGCTTGCGGTGAAAATCCTATCAGTCGTCGTTCCGGCGGCGACTCCGGTAGCACTTGCACGTGCGCAGCAGCTCTTTGCTCGCACGAAGCTTTGGCTTGCAGTGAAAATCCTATCACTCGTTGTGTCGTTCCATATTTCCGACTCCGGTAGCACCTGCACGTGTGTGGTGGCTCGCTAGTCTTTAGGTCAGGGAGGGAAGCCGGCTCGTTTGCGAGTACCTTGGGGGCGCGTCGCGCGTCTCGTTTCAACGTGTGTGTGTTTGTTCCAGAGCGAAGCAGAAGCAGAGACGTACGGCAGCAGCAGCTCTCGCCGGTCGTTGTGGCTCGCTCTCGCCCGTATATCGGCGAGACGATCGACGCAGCGGCTGACCCCCCTCGCTGGTGTGTTTGTTTGCTTGTTTCAGCAGGTCGAGCCGTCCTTGTACCGTCGTGTCGCTCGTGGGCAAGACCAAGCAAGAGTCACGACCTTCCACCGCCCGCCCCCCACCCCGACGACCCCGACACATTCCGAGAAGAGGACGACAGGGCACCACACAACCAAAAGGCGAGAGGGGGGGGGGGGGTCCAGGTTCTACAATACATGGCACTTGACTGGTAGCATTGTAGACCAGACCCAGACCCAGACCCAGACAGAGAGTACGGTGTTTCGTCGAGAGATAGATCCAGGCTGGTTTCCCGGCAGATGTCGAGAGAGGGAGAGACTGATTCCTGATCTTTCTGTGCAGATGTCGAGATCGGCCGACCACCTCTGGTTTCTGGTCTCTGATTTCTGGGCAGATGTCGAAATCGGGACCTCTGATTTCTTGGCACATGTCGAGGAGATGTATGTGCAGCTTGTATTGGATTGATTTCTCGGCAGGCAGACGGCTCTCTGTGTACATACTTGCTCGTCGCTCGATCGCACGCACAGACAGTTACGATAGATAGTCAAGTTCTTCCTGCCTGCCTTGCCTGCCTTGCCTGCCCTGCCTGCCCTGCCTGCCCTGCCTGCCCTTGGGGAAAGCGCGCGGAGAACAAGGCAGGTACAGTAGGCAAGAAACCTTGTTGTTACCTGGGAAAGAGATGAGCCCGTGACACCGCTATTGATATGCTGCAGCATGCACGAAGCCTTTTTTTGGCTTGCGGTGAAAATCCTATCAGTCATGAAGTATCGTACCGTCCGACGACGCTCGGCAGCACTTGCGCGTGCTCAGTTCTTGGCTCGCACGAAGCTGCTTTTCGGGGCGGCTTGCGGTGAAAATCCTATCAGTCGTCGTTCCGGCGGCGACTCCGGTAGCACTTGCACGTGCGCAGTTCTTGGTTGGCGCGAAACCTTGTCTCCGTGTTAGGCGGAACCACGTATCGAGAGACCAAGACACCGCAGGTGGTGTCCGTCAGCGATAGATTTCGGTGCGGTCGAGTCGGTGACGAAACTAGTTGCTACCGTCGCGCCCAGTTTCGGTCTAGTCTCATCGGGGAACAGGCCACACGCACACATTCGAGTAGCTAGTGGTTTCCTTCCTACCCCCAGTTCGCGAAATTGGTGTCTCTCTTGGTCTGTGGCAGACAAAGCAGCGAACGGCTTGGTGGCTTAGTGGCTTCGCCATCAGCAGTGTCACGCGGGCAGACTTTGACAAAAAAAAACACCTCGCAAGTACTGTCATCGCTCATATATGCCAAACATGTCTTCATTGTGTCGAATAGGGGCAAAACCACGCATTGCTAACATGCCATGTTAGCAGACAGTATTCCGCGGTCCACGCCAAAATGTCCGGGGCATTTTCATTGACATCCTCATCCGCGTTTTCACGTCCGCAAGGTTCCTGGACACCCTTCATTCAAACATCAACGTTCATCGCTCCATTCCCAGTCGAGGCACGAAGTTGAAGTTGGACAAAGGAGGGGGGATTTCAAACCACCTCCATGGCCCGCCAATCATGAGCGGGAGGTTCACCGACCGCAAAATAGATGGGGGTCGAGGTAGAAAAAAACAAGGTGAACGTTCCTGCATCATGAACCGTTCCACGGCGGAAGCTAACGAAGGGCGGCTGTGAGCAATCAATGCCCCCAATAGCCAGCCCAACGAAAACGAAGAGGTCCGCATCTGGACCATTCGACCGAAAAACAAAATGGGATATTTTTCAACTCACGACATTGTTGGGGTTCCCCTACTTCGCACAACGGCGGCTCCGCTTGCCCCTCACCGCCATTCAGAGCGCCTGCCTCGCCCTCCCTGGATCCTTTGATCTACAGGTCATAGCCATCGATTTTGCGGTGGGGTAATAGCCGACCGAAACCCGCCAACAACCCCATCCCTCACGCTCATGGCACGGAGCAACGTAGTTCCCGAACGTTTTTCACATACTACACACGGCGGAGGAAAAGACATGGTCAATGTTCGCCGTTTCTGACAACAAAAAAAACATTTGAAAAACTGACCATTGGTATGCCGCGCTTCGAATCAAGTGTTTTCCACGAAATCGGCAAAAACCCCTTGCTTCGATTGGAAATCTTCCAGCGAAAAGGAAGCAGCGTCGAGCGAAGCGCGCTTGGTGGTAGCGGCGACCCCGCTATGCACGCGTAGTCTGTTCCCACAGTCGACACCAACCTCAAAACCCACTTGGTTGTCCACAATGCTACACACCACCTACCGGACGGCACTACCGCGAACAAAGTAGGAGCAGCCACCCCACCGACACACCACGGGGGCAACGAAGCACAACAATACACAACCACGAAACACCAACAAGGTCGGATATTGTACATGAGAGGTCTCTTAGTTCGTCCGCGCTGAACTTTCCCCTCTTCGGGATCCTGCCGTCCAACAAGTATGGTAGAAAGAACCAACACCGTATTGCTAGCCTTTGTGTCATCACGTTTAAGTACACACATCTGCAACGTGGAACAACAACGTGAAACAAAGTGTCATAAACAAATCTCTTGGAGGCGCCCCCTCCAGCGCTCTCGATCCGGCCAACCAACAACCTCGTTCACGTTCCTCTTTTACACCATCAGCAGGGCTTTAAACAGGTCCCAGACATTCTTCGCAGGTTTGATGGGGAGACAGAAGCGGGTCACGCCATTTTTTTTGCCTTTTTGTTGCATCTCAGCGGCAGTAAAGGTCGCGGTCGATGACAGCAGGAATGGGCTTGATCTCCGTGCCGAGTTCCTGCAGGATGCGAGCAGGGGAGGACGCGACGGAGGGGGGGACGGCGGCAGAAGTTATGCTTTGTAGCACGTGCTTTGTCTGAATCGAAACAGAAGCAAATACTACATCCGCCTTACCCGCTCACGCTTCAACAGCAATACTGAGGCCTGAGAAAGCGAAGGTCACGCCGCCCTGAGGTGAATGAAGCGCTGAGGGGAGAAATGAAGTACGAAAATTCACAATTTCGCATGGAAACACACCACAACTCGTGCGGTACTCGACAACCGTGGGCACTGTGAGGACAACGCCAACGACTTGAACATGACGCCTCAGCCACACAGGACGACACACCCAACCACGAGACTCGAACACAACACTCACCACAACAGGGATCCACGAATGCAACCATCGAACAAACGACCGATACCATGGAACCAAATACTCCGGACCATACGACCCGCAACATGATGGGGTCCGTTTGGTATTATTAACGTGCGCTCTGTTTTGGGTAGAGCGGTCGTGGACATGAAAATTCGCCATTTTCCCCCCCAAGAGCGGGTCAAGTTAAGAAGAACTACCACAAACATACAGGTGGATAGCTTCTAACAACAACGACCACGACCCAACAATTACTGCTGCAGCTTCAAGAAAACACTCGCTTGCAACAACAACAACAACAGCAACAGCAGTAGGAACGACCGCCCCTGCTTCTGTGCGCGAAAGAATAACACTCGCCTGCTCGATGCGGAAGAGGTTGTGACGGTCCTCGTAGGTGATGAGGTTGATCGCCAGGCCCAGGTGTCCGAAACGCCCCGAGCGGCCAATGCGGTGGAGGTAGGTCTCAGCGTTCTTGGGGAAGTCGAAGTTGATCACCACGTTGACCGACTGGATGTCGATACCTCGGGTGAACAGGTCTATGCCGAGGCAAAGGCGGCGGCAGGGGGGGGGGATTGGTAAGGAGGCTGCACCTGTGTTGTTTAATTTTCTTGCACACTTGGACCAGCGTGGAGACAGAGGCCTTGACGTGGGCGGGGGGGGGGGGGGGGGGGGGGCCTAAT